GAACAGGGAGTACAGAACAGGGAGTATAGGAACTCTTTGTACTTTCTGCTCAATTTTACTGTGAACCTAAAACTAAAAAATAGTCTTTTTTTTTTTTTTTTTGAGACCGTGTCTTACTCTGTTGCACAGACTGGACAGCAGTGGTATAATCACTGCTCAGCACAGCCTTGAACTACTGGGCTCAAGTGATCCTGCCACCTCAGCCTCATGAGTAGCTGGGACTACCAGCATGCACCACCACACCTGGCTAATTTTTAAATGTTTTGTATAGACATGTTCTCATTATGTTGTCCAGGCTGGTCTTAACTCCTGGCCTCAAACAATCCTCCTGCCTCGGCCTCCCAAAGTGCTGGGATTACAGGCGTGAGCCACCGTACCTGGCCATTAAAGTCTATTTTTAAAAAATCTAGATCATAGTTGCTCCCTTACTTAAACAATTCCAAGGCTATCCATTTTTCTAAAAATCTACATTCCTCCCTATGGCCTGCAAAGCACAGCAGAATTGGGTCCTTGTTCACCCTCAACCCCATCCCTCCCATTCTTCTCAGTCACAAGGCTCCAGCCTCAGCCCCTGAGCAGCCTGAGCCTTTTCCCATTGCAAGGCCTTGTTCTTATTCTTTGCATAGGCACTTCCTCATCTTCAAGCTTCAGCTTACACATAATTCCTTAGGGTTTTCTCTGGACCACTCAGTCTGGAGTGTGTCGCTCTCCCTGTTATTACCTTAATGGCTCTTATCCTGCTGGATGGTTCTTGTAATATCTAATTTTAGGTGTCAACTTGACTGGGTTATGAGATAACCAGACAGCTGGTAAAGCATTATTTTCTATGTGAGTGTTTCCAGAGGAGGCTGGCATGTGAGTTGGTGGACTGAACAGGGAAGATCTGCATTGATGCGGGCAGGGAGTATCCAATCAACTAAGGGCCCAATTAGAATAAAAAACAGAGGAAAGGTGGATTCACTCACTCTGCTGGCATCTGGGACACGCTTCTCCTATCTTTGGACATCAGAACTCTAGACTCTCCAGTGTTTGGACTCTAGTATACACACTGGCGACACTCCAGGCTCTTGGGCCTTCAGCCTTGGACTGAGTTACACCATCAACTTCCCTGTCCCAAGGCTTTCGGGCTTGGACTGAGCTACACTATCAGCTTTCCTGGGTCTCCAGCTTGCAGACAGCCTATCGTGGGACTTCACAGCACCCCCAACTGCATGAACCAATGTCCCTAACAAATCCCTTCTCATATACCTATTATCTGTATCTACATCTGCATATGTCCTACTGGCTCTGTTTCTCTAGAGAACCCTGCTATAGTTCCTCACTGGAATAGATATTCCATGATGATAAAGACCTTTTCCCCACTAAACCGTCAACAGTGTCTAACGCAGAGCCAGGGCCACAAGAGTGTTTGCTGACTAAAACAGAAAGGGCATCTGTCCTGCTCATGGCTGTATCCCACATACTGGATGCCCAGCAATGGGGTCAGTGCACACACATGACCTGGAGACTCCATCACTTCAGTTAGTCAAGGGGTCTCAAAAGCAACTCCTGGAAATGATGAGTGACTGGTCCAGGAATCCTGACCCCAAAGCTGGACCACCTTCCCAGAGTTTGAACTCCCTCTGATGTTCTGAGAACATGTGACTTCATTGCAGAGAAAAAAAAAAAACCATCAAAGCTTCCTTCAGTTCGTTAGGGAGGGACCCTTGTTCCCCACTCGTCACATGCCTACTGAGGGGAGGGAATTCCCACTACACCCCAGCAGGAGTGAGCAGACTAGCTAGGCACCACAGGACTCTAAACTACACTGTACAGGTACAAGGGTACGTGTGTTCTTCAGCCCATGTGGAGCATCTGAGAACCCTGAGGTGAGTGTCAAAGAACTGACATTGCATAGATCGTGTTCTCTTACCACACTTCATTTAATTCAGAAATCAAGGATGGGCACGGTGGCTCATGCCTGTAATCCCAGTACTCTGGGAGGCCAAGGTGGGCAGCTCACCTGAGGTCAGGAGTTTGAGACCAGCCTGGCCAACATGGTGAAACCCCGTCTCTACTGAAAATACAAAAATTAGCCAGGTGTGGTGGCAGGTGCATGTAGTCCCAGCTATTCAGGAGACTGAAGCAGAAGAATTGCTTGAACCTGGAAGGGGGAGGTTGCAGTGAGCTGAGATCACACCACTGCACTCCAGCCTGGGTGACAAGAGCGAGACTCTGTCTCAAAAAAAAAAAAAAAAAATTAGAAATCAATAACAAAAACTATCTGGGAATCCCCCACACATTTGGAAATGTTAAGACACACTTCCAAACAACTCGATGGTGAAAGAATTATAAAGAAAATACGTAGAGTTAAACAATGAGAAAAAAATGGCACATCTCAAAACTTGAAGGGTTCATTAGTGACTTCCTGAGCATCCACTATGCCCCAGGCATTGTACTAAGCACTGGGAACATCCCAGCAACAAAAAAAAGTCGTGCACTCTTAGGGTTACATCTAGTTGGGGGAGCTGAGCAGCAGTAAATCTGTGTGTGACACAGGGGATACCATCAGCTGGTTTCCCCGACATCAAACATGGATTCGTGGAGGAAAAGGGCAGGCTGGGGACAGGCGCTGGGGTGAGAGGAGCCGCAACGCTCACCAAGGCCTCTGGGAAGGGGGGCAGGGAGGATGGAGAGAAGTCATGAGAAGAAATCTGAATCTTGAATTTGTCCATGTACCTGGCATAAGCCAATCTTTTCATATGCATGAATGAACAACTTGACTTACTTAGTTAAATAAGAGTGAGGCTAATATGACTTATGCTCATCATGTCTTTATGGGAGAAAAATGAGCTCCTCGTGAAAACTGCTGCCTTAACACGAGAGCATATCAGCACCACAAGAGAGTGATGCCTCCTTTCTTGCATTGCTGGTTGTCTGGAAAGGGAAGGGAGCTGCAAAGGGAAGGGCGACAGTGCCAGCTGGTGCCAGGACAGAGGTGAGCTCAGGTGCGAGTGCGGGATGAGCGGCTTGCCCAGGCAGCGCCCCCTGCTGGAGCTCTGGGGCACGCTACTCATGTCCACTGTGTGGTGTTGAGACCCAAGCCTTAGTCTCTGCAGCAAGACAGATGCTGCTTCCAGGAACCACCTGCTGACCCAGCACTCCATGAACACACCACAGATGCTGAGTTCAACACCAGGGGCTGGTTTGGTTCTGGGGACAAACTGAAGTCTTTGATCTGCACAACCTACATTCTAATGGAAAAAGCAAACACACACCTAAGATAAACTTTAGGTAGTGGTGAGTTGGTGAGTTGTGTGCAGAAAATAACTCAAGGTGAAGAAACAGCTGTGACTGGGGACCTTACTGTAGTCTGGGTGACCAGAGGTCTCCTGAATGCAATGTATAAGCTGACAATCAGAAGCAAGTGGGAAAAATTTGTGGCACGAGTCTGGGGACAGAGGAGGAGCTGGTGCACAGAGCTGCAGGCAGCTCAGCAAGTGCTGGAGTGTGGAGAGAGAGGAGGTGCTGGGCCAGCAAGGCACAGCCAGAGCACAGGCCTGGGGATATGCTCTGCAGCTCGGATTTGATGGTAAGTGCAATAGAAGCTACTGGAAGTCCTAGGGCAGTAACGTGACTTTTCCAGTGCTTTTAAAGGATCACTCTGCCTGGGTGTGAGGGATGAGCAGCAGGGGCAAGAGTGGTTGGAGGGATCTAAGTGAGAAAGGTCTATGGTGGAGATGGGGAATGGGGAAAAGGAGGCACGCTCAGGACCTATTTTGTGGGTAAAGACTGTGACACTCGCTGTGGGGGAGGTGGAAGGAAAGTCAAGGATGACTCACAGGATTTTTCTCGGAATGGCCAAGGCTAACTGGTCTTTTGAGAGCTTTTATGTCAGGCAAAGTCCTAAGTGCTGTTTCACACAGACACATGGACACACATGCACGTGCACTGAATTCTCACAAGATTCTAGTAGGGAAAGTACTATCATTGTCTTTCTTTTATAGATCAGGAAACTGAGGCACAAGTAATGTTTTCATGTTGTCCAAACCATGCCGGCCAGTGATGGCTCACCCCACTGCCCCTGTTCTTACTCACTACTCTGCACTGGCTCCCAAGGACCTGGAAGGAAGATGGGCCCTTCACTAAGGTGGAGAAGGCTTGAAGAAGAAGATTCGGAAAGGCACAGTTCCGAGTCCCTCCAGTGGAGCATCCTCTGCAGGAGTCCATTATTCACCCAGTAACTGCCCATTAAACCAGCAAAGGCCAAGTGCAGGTACAGTCAGCGAGCTCAGGCTCCATGAGGGGCTGTACTCTAAGACACCCTCACAGGGCGAAGACCGGAGGTATGTGGTACTGGAGAGGGAACAGGACCAGAGGAGACATCTTACAAGGAAACTCCTTTGCTACAAGTCAAATGCTGGACAGAGCACAGAAAGCACAAACTGGAGCCTCAAAAGCTGGTTCTCACCACAATAACCAATATTCATAATAACATTAATTCACTTATTTACTGACCTCCACTCTGGGTCTTTTCAGTAAAAGTACTCACTGGCTTCTGAATATCGACGTATACTCTCCCACTCCAACACAACACAATCTCACTACTCCTTGTCTTCAAAATATTGATTCCCCTCAAGAGAGGGGTAGGTAAAATTCTCTAAAATAAATCTAGGGAAAGGAGAGGACTGATGACCTGTTTCTAGTTCCTCTTGGGGACACGAAGCAAAGATGTTTTGACTGGATTGTCAAGAAGTTGGTTTTAAGAACAAAACTCCACCAAATTATGCTTTTCAGAAAGTCAAGCCAATTAACTGCTTCTGCAAAAGTGCACTTTCTGACTCTCTCTTCTTGGTCCGTAGCGAGAAAAGCAACCTCGGTATGGGGAGCCCCTCTTCTGCAGAAACTCCTGCCAGCATGAGGGGACGGCCTGAGAGTCTCGGGTGAGTCTAAAGGTCAGCACACAGGTGGTGCAGACATGCTGTCATTCTGAAAAGAAAAGGATAACTCTGAAACCTTACCACTGCTTCTGATGTGGACGGGTATTTCTGTAGCCCTGTTCTGGGGAGACTGTTCCTTCGACTCAGCAGGTGCAGCTTTAACTTGCCAAAGAGGATCTTCAACAAAGCAATTTACACATGGTAAGGGAATCTCACATTTGAAAGAAACAGAACATTACTATAGCAGAGCCCATGCCGCCAGCCAGAGAATACACACCCAAACAGACGTTACAACATGCTTAAATTCTCACTTAGTACTTTTCTTTGATTTAAAGGCTTTGAAGTAATAAATCTCAGTGTGTTCATTACTTGTGAGAGACCATGATAAACTTACTTTTCGGATAGTTGACATAAAATATTTATAAATTCAAAATAAATCTCCCTTTAACTCCTGAATAAGAAATACACTTTATGAAAGAGCCAAAATTCAGCTTTACCTCTCGAAGCTGGTTACTGCTCATTATAAGAAACTGTTCTCCTGCAACAAAATGAGCTTCTTGCTCCAATTCCTTGAGACGAGCCTGAAAATATGATACACACAATTAATCTCATTCATAGCTTTCACAATTTAAGATTATTTTTTGTTCATCAAACAATTCTCAACAGCGAGATGGGCATGGTGGCTTACACCTGTAATACCAGCCCTTTGGGAGGCTGAGGCGGGAGGATCACTTGAGCCCAGGAGTTTGAGACCAGCCTGGGCAACACAGTGTGGCCCCATCACTAAAAAAAAATTAGCTGAGCACGGTGGTGCACACCTGTAGTCCTAGCTACTTGGGAGGCTGAGGTGGGAGGACTGTATGAACCCGAGAGTTCAAGGTTGCAGTTGGTTATAACTGCCACTGCACTCCAACCTGTGTGACAGTGAGACCCGGTCTCAACAAACAAACACATACACACAAAATTCCCAAAGAAAGCTCTTAAGAGAGTAATAAATAACCTATAATTTATCAAAATAAGCATAAAAATACATATTTTGGCCAGGCGCGGTGGCTCACACCTGTGATCCCAGCACTTTGGGAGGCCGAGGCAGGTGGGTGTCTTGAGCCCAGGAGTTTGAGACCAGCCTGGGCAACATAGTGAAACCTCATCTCTACAAAAAAATAAAAATAAAAATAAAAATAAAAATAAACGTATTTTGCCTCATGGTGAAATACCTAGGCTCATAGAAGCATCCTCCCCCAAAGGTAAGAAAACAAACTTAAAGAAGCAAAAATAATGGGAAGGGAAGAATCAATTCTCCAGCAATATTAAGACTAAAAAAGGGATCCAACATCATATAGAACAAGACAGAGGTAGAAAGTATAGGAAACAGGCTTGTATCAAGAATACATTAGGATATCCTATACATCAGTAAGAAAAAATATAAAAATGGGTAAAAGACTTGAGCAAATCCTTTACAAAAAGAAATTCCTAAAAGCTAATGATGCTTATGAAAAGCTAATCAATCCCACTAGTGTGAAATGTGACATACAAAATGACATCACTCTGGTCCAGAGCTCTAGAGTAGAGTCAGGGAGCCATTCTAAAGACCACCTGCATGACCTGAAACGCAGAAAAACAAAGCCAAAAAGACAGGGACTTGCCTTGAACCTCTGAACTGGGCCAAACTGCAATGACCACAACATCCTGGAAAACAGCTGGATTTTGCCAGTGCTGCAACTCCTGAAGTGACAACCAATGAGCTCAACGGACTCGTGCACTGAGCCAGCCACCTCCACCAACGATCATTCTTTCACAACAACTGTGTATTCACCCTTAGCTTCCTCTGAAAAACCTCGACTCCCCTTCCTCTCTTTGGAACACAATTTGACCTTTAGCTGAATGTGGCCCCTAAATTGCAATTCCTAAGACCCCAATAAATGCCTTGTTTTACTGCTTTTCAGTCTGGTTTTTTGCCTTTTCTTGGTTAACAGTAAATGGTGTCAGAAGTAGGACACAAAGCAACTCTCCTCTGCATTCTGGCACTGCCACAGATTTGAGCATGATACTTGCAGGAACCCCTTGTGCCCTATCACCTCCCTGAAGGCCTGGGACCCTGGTGGAGAATCCTCGGGTTTCCCTGAACACCCCACCTCAGTTGAAGTTCAGACCTTTACTGGGCGTCTGTCCTTTGCTGCTGGCTGTTGACAGAGGGACTTTTCCCTTTTTGGTGAGTACTCATGATGACTTCTGCTTCTAAAGTACAGGTGCTGAGTCACCCTCTTCTGGAATTTCTGCTGATTTTCTGTACAAAAATTACGGTCCTTTATCTTATAAATTTATTTATTGAACCAACATCACTGAAAGTGATTTGGAATTACAATGGCCAATCTGGGCATCTTTGATCTCCCAAAATTTGTTTTCCTCCACAGAAAATTAGAAGGGCTAAAAGGAAAGATTACACAGCCTGAGTGGAACAGCCACTTTACTTTGGTATCTTGAGGCATCTAAAAGAATCCAGGGAACTAAACTAATGTTCCTAAGAGATAACAATGCCCAATTAGCTCAAAGACTCTCTAAACTAGGAAAAAAAAAACAAAAACAAAAACCCAGAAGCATCTTCTACCCCGACCCCTCCCATCCATTGTCACGCTCTGTACTCTCTTCTTATATAGTAAAAACTTATTCTAAACCTGGAAAATTACCTCCTGGGTTTTCCATGAAGAGGCGGCTTATTGGATTGGGTAGCTACTGGAATAAGTATACCACTGGAAATTCTAATCATCAGTAGCCAGACAGTGGATCTTTAAATTAGAAAAACTCCCATAAAATATTTTTGATATCTCTCATTCTAAACAGTTGTTTTATTTGTACTTATGGGACGATCAATTTTTTTAAGAAAGACACATAATAGGCTGGGTGTCGTGGGTCACACCTGTAATCCCAGGACTTTAGGAGGCCAAGTCGGGAGGATCACTTGAGCCCAGGTGTTCAAGACCAGGATGGGCAACATACTCATCTTAAAAAAAAAAAAAATTAGCCAGGTAGGCATGGTGGCATGTACCTGTAATCCCAGCTACTCGGGAGGTTGAGGCAAGAGGATGGCTTGAGCCCAGGAGTCTGAGGCTGCAGTGAGCTATGATTGCAGCATTGCATGCCAGCCTGGTTGACAGAGCAAGGCCCCATCTCTAAAAACAAAAATAAGGCTGGGGGCGGTGACTCGCACCTATAAACCCAGCACTTTGGGATGCCGAGGCGGGTGAATCACTTGAGGTTAGGAGTTCAAGACCAGCCTAGCCAACATGGTGAAACCCTATCTCTACTAAAAAGACAAAATTAACGGGCATGGTGGTGGGCAACTGTAATACCAGCTATTTGGGAGGCTGAGGCAGGAGAATTGTTTTCAATTGGGAGGCGGGGGTTGCAGTGAGCCAGGATCATGCCACTGCACTCCAGCCTGGGCGGACAGAGTGAGACTCTGTCTCAAAAATTAAAAAAAAAAAAAAAAAAAAAGGCCATGCGAAGTGGCTCACGCCTGTAATCCCAACACTTTGGGAGGCTAAGGTGGGTGGATCACTTAAGGTCAGCAGTTCAAGACCGGCCCAACCAACATGGTGAAACCCTGATTCTACTAAAAATACAAAATTAGCCAAGCATGGTGGCGCATGCCTGTAATCCCAGCTACTTGGGAGGCTGAGGCAGGAGAACTGCTTGAACCTGGGAGGTGGAGGTTGCAGTGAGCCAAGATTGCGCCACTGTACTTCAGCCTGGGAGATAAGAGTGACACTCTGTCTCAAAAAATAAATAAATACATAAAATAAAATAAAATAAATAAATTTAAAAAGACACATAATAGTGTCATGGCTAGCCTCAGAAATTCTCTTGATGAAATTAAACAACAAAAATCTGGCCTGAACAACATTAATATCCTTTGTACATTCAAACTGCCTGTTTTGGATTCCCTGCGGAATTTACCAAAAAAAAAAAAAAAAAAGAAGACACTCTACTCTGTGGTCTCATGGAGATGTAAGTCCTTTAATTCAGGAGAAGAACCACTAATTTAAAAACTGGTTTAATATGTGTGTGATTCTTGACTTTGGGGGGGTTCTTCTATTTTTCTCATGGATCCCCAAGAATCATGAGCAGGTTCAAGTCTAACATACAGGCACCTCAACTGACTGTTCTCTGGACTCCAAAACTTTTTCTTTTTTTTTTTTTTTTTGAGATGGAGTTTTGCTCTTGTTGCCCACGCTGGAGTGCAATGGCACGATCTCGGCTCACCGCAACCTCTGCCTCCTGGGTTCAAGCGATTCTCCTGCCTCAGCCTCCTGAGCAGCTAGGATTACAGGCATGCGCCACCACGCCTGGCTAATTTTGTATTTTTAGTAGAGATAGGGTTTCACCATGTTGGTCAGGCTGGTCTCAAACTCCTGACTTCAGATAATCCACCCACCTCGGCCTCCCAAAGTGCTGGGATTACAGGCGGGAGCCACCGCACCTGGCCTCCAAGAAAATCTTTTCAAAGAATGTTCCCAACATTAACCTTTGCTTTTCTTCCATTTGTGAAGCTGTCCGCAATGCCATCTTCTGAAATAAGACACAACTATTGGCCGGGCGCGGTGGCTCAAGCCTGTAATCCCAGCACTTTGGGAGGCCGAGACGGGTGGATCACGAGGTCAGGAGATCGAGACCATCCTGGCTAACATGGTGAAACCCCGTCTCTACTAAAAAATATAAAAAAAAAACTAGCCGGACGAGGTTGCGGGCGCCTGTAGTCCCAGCTACTCGGGAGGCTGAGGCAGGAGAATGGCGTGAACCCGGGAGGCGGAGCTTGCAGCAGTGAGCTGAGATCCGGCCACTGCACTCCAGCCTGGGCGACAGCCTGGGCGTCTCAAAAAAAAAAAAAAAAAAAAAAAAAAGACACAACTATTCAATTGAACTGACCAGTTCCCAGAAATGGGAGAGTGGTTTAATAGGACCTTTTGCCCCTCAGGTAAATCAATTTTTCTCTACACATCCATCAATGCAGCTGTTACTGTGTGAAGCCTCCATGGGAGCTTCAGAAAAGGGAATGTTGAGGTGCAGAAGATGATCCCCCAAATATGGTGATTTGGCATGCTGAATGCTTTTGAGAACTGAAAGGCTCCAGGAATACGTCTTAGAATCTAGATCCTTCTAATCTTGTCTTCTTCCCACTCCAAGAGCAGGGAGGAACTGTCTCTGGAATTTTCTTATCTGGCTAAGAAAGCTTCTTACCAAAAGAAATACAATTGTCTTCTATGCGGTTCCTGAAATCTCATTATCTATTTCAGAAAAGAAGACTGAGGAATGACATTTAGACATGTTAATAAAATGTGTGGCTCTCCTGATATACAGCTAATCACCATATAATAATGCAGGCCTCCTTATTAAAACGGCTCTCTTGTTACTCAAGTTCACTCATCTCTGAAGCCATATTGCACGCTGACTTTCAACAACCCCCCTCTGTGAGATAAGACACTCTAAACAGGCAGTTCAAGTTCTGGGGAAAAGAGATAACAAATCTGTGGCTGACCAACCAATAACTGATCAGTGATGCTTCCACATGTCAGATTTTGAGCAAAAGTGGGGAATGTGACATGCAACATGCAAAATGGTATCATTCTGGTCCAAGGCTCTAAAATGAAGGCAGGAGGCCATTCTAAGGACTACCTATATGACCTACAACCCTTCAAAACAAAACAAAACAAAAAAAACAAACAAACAAGGACTTGCCTTGAACCTCTGAACTGGGCCAAACTGCAATGACTACAACATCCTGGAAAACAGCTGGACTTTGCCAGTGCTGCAACTCCTGAAGTGACAACCAATGAGCTCAACGGACTCGTGCACTGAGCCAGCCACCTCCACCAACGATCATTCTTTCACAACAACTGTGTATTCACCCTTAGCTTCCTCTGAAAAACCTCGACTCCCCTTCCTCTCTTGAGAACGCATATTGGCCTTTAGCTGAACCTGTGTCTCCTGAATTACAATTTCTAAGACCCCAATAACACCTTGTCTAACTGCTTTGCAGTCTGGTCTTTCACCTTTTCTTGGTTGACAGTAGTAATCAGGAAAATAGAAACAAAACTCATAATGAGATATCATTATAGCCTCACTAAAATGGCCACAATGTAAATGTAGCCAGGGGAAGTGAGGATGTGCAAGAACGGGATCCTGTATGCATTCTCATGGGTGAGACTCTGGGAAGCCATTGGGCATTACTGAATAAAACTAAGTAACAGATTCCCTGTGTCCCAGCACACTAGTCACCTCATAGCCCTCAGAAAGCTGTGCCCACGGGCACAGGGAATGCACTCAGCGGTACAGCGTGGTTTGTAATGACAGCCACTTGGAAACAACCACACACCTATTGGCAGTGGGACAGAGACACCAAGGGCAGCACAGTCCACAACAGAAAATTCCACAGCACTGCATGACACACAGAAATACAGGTGGAGCTGAGATGTAGAAGGCTGGGTGAAAGGCTACATGTAAATCACTGTTTACTTACAGTTCAAAAGCAAAGCTAAACGACATTGTTTAGGCTTTGAAGCGAGAAAGCTAGAAAGAAGAGCAACAATGAAAAGGCTACAAAAGTCAGGGCTAAGTTACTTTTGGCAGCAGGAAAGGGGTTCCCATAGGGAAAGCACACAGGGCTCTGGAAATTCTATGCTTTGAGCCAGGTGATGGTTATATTGGGGTTTCCTTAAACATTTTATTTTAAAGATGCTCCTGGCATGTGGTTTATTTAGACTTTTAAAAATATTTGTGCAGATGTATGCGGCATATGAGAGAATGCATTACGTGTCTATAATGTGTGGTGGTCAAGTTAGGGTATTCAAAGCGCCCAGCATTCGACTTCAATACCTTTGTGTTAAGTACAGTTATCCTATGCTGCTATCAAACACTGAATTTATTTCTTTTATTTTACTGTATGTTTGTACCCTTCAGCCCGCTTCTCTTCATCTTTGCCCTCCCCACTGCTCACCCTTCCCAGTCTCTGTGTCTATTTTCCCACTCTCTATCTACATGTGTTTTCTTAAGAAAACTGAAGTAGAGCATTTTTATGTATTTTTTCATGCATCTTTACACATCTCTGTATTTTTGTTTTTCAAGAACCCCAAGAATTCCTTCACCAAACTACAGGGGACAATGTCCCTGTAAGAAAAACTTAACTTTTGAGAAGGATCCTGAGGAGCCATTAAAGAACTCCCCGGACACACATGCACTAGATGCTGTTTAGGTCTTTTCAATGCTAGGTTCTCCCCTGCAGGACTCAGAAAGAGGGAGAAGAACTGTCAACATCAAACCAGGAAGAGAAGACAAGGAGAATCTACTCTAGACCTGCCACTGGGAACAACTATCTCATGCAGGAAAGATATGGCCAGTACACACCGTCTGGAATAATAACTTACCCCAAGAAGTGCTGACATCTTCTCCATCTCCTCTTTGTTCACCTGAATGGCGTGGCTTTCCATCACTGTGATTCAAAACCCAAACCAGATTATATTTACATTAATGTATCCTTTTTACTAAACGCTAAAATGCTTCACTCCCTGATGAGGACAATAATGACTGCAACTGCCATTTACTCAGCACCTGCTGCATGCCAACCTCTGCACAGGATCTGTCAGGATCCCTGTGTCATACAGACAAATGGGCGCATTGACAGAGCTGGCCTTTGAGGTGTGAGTGGACGAGGGGACCACAATGGCCAGCCTGGCCCTCCCCATACTGTGAATGCCCCCTGGCTGACGTGGTGCCCATCAGGACCTGCGTCAAAGGCAAAGGCAGAAGAGAGCCCTGCATCGGTTCTTGCAGGAAGGTTCTCAAGGTTATGAGGACAGCAAACCAGAATGAGAGACAACCACTAACACATGAAACATCTAGAGAAACCTACTCCCCCTGGGCCAGGCAGCACAGCAGGGGTCCCATATGACCAAAATGTCAGAACCTCTAGTCTTTCCACACCAACGGGGAATGCAGTCCAACCCCTCACTACATACAGAAAGGGAAAATAATAGGCTTGCTACCTCTCCGGTGCCCATGGGATACACTATCTACTCCTAAATAAGGTATAGAGAAATATTCATCCCAAACAATGTGGAGAACCCTCTAGAAAAATGGCTGTACTTCATCTTTATGGTGACTTACCTGCCAAAATTGGTATCAAAGGAAGCTCCAAAGTACAAAATAGTTGCCATAAACCATACTCCTGTTTAATAGGAAGAAATAACATCAATGTCAATTTAAATATTATTGTATCTACATTTTATTGAAAAGCCTATTTTTTTTTTTTTTTTGAGACAGCGTCTTGCTCTGTCGCCCAGGCTGGAGTGCAGTGGCGCGATCTCGGCTCACTGCAACCTCCACCTCCTGGGTTCAAGCGATTCTCCTGTCTCAGCCTCCTGAGTAGCTGGGACTACAGGCACCCCCCACCACACCAGGCTAATTTTTAAACATTTTTGGTAGAGACAGAGTTTCGTCATGTAGGCCAGGCTGGTTGTGAACTCCTGACCTCAAGTGATCTGCCCATCTCAGTCTCCCAAAGTTCTGGGATTACAGGCAAGAGCCACTGCGCCTGACCAAAAAGCCTACTTAATTTTGTTGAGCTAGAATAAAGGAGACCCCTATCATAAGAGTGGCTGGTCTCCTACCCAACTTCTACCCCTCTCGCTTGCTCTTCCCAATAAACCTATTTCCCTTAAGTAGGCTATTTTATTACCAAGATCTGGTGGAGATACTTAGAAATATAGATAGGTTCAAGTCAAACACTGGAAGTGGCAAAAAAGAAATAAAAAGAAATAATCTGATAGGCCAAGCCCCATTCTCAATTTTCTTTACTCTTTTTCATTTTTAAGATTGATTTAGGCATTTGTGGACTTTTAGACTACCATTTTAATTTCAGAATAGGCTTACTGAATTCCCAAAATTTACCAATAATTCTCATTGATTTTTCACTGCCACTATGGATTAATTTGGGGAGCATTAGAATCTTTATTCCAGGCCACCTCCCCTGAGAGCACGGAATCTCTATTTATCTGGGCCTTCCTGTGCTCTTCATGAGTCTCATCATTTTTATTTTTCCTGCTGCCATGAGAGAGTCCCAGGCTCCATCCTCCAACTCTTGCCCTCATGTTCCCTCCTGCCCCTCCAGACCCATTCTCTGCCCTGCTCTTGCCCATAAGGCGGGGCAGGTCCCTCCAGGTCACATCACCCGGGCCACTCCTCTGCCTTCAGATTGGGCACTGAGGACAGAAGGGAGGGAAACGGGCTGAGCTACTGCCTGTCCCTGGAGGCTTCTCCTTCTGGCTGGTTCCCTTTGCCCTCCCTGGCCTCTGGACACAGTCCCTCCACTCAACACTTCTTGGTTGTTCATTGCAGTGGCTGTCTGCTTCCCAGGAAGACTCCCGTTGAGTGAAACTACGTCCATCCCACTATTAATCAAAATCAATGCTCAGCTTTTATGTTAACTATGGCACTGGAAACATCCCACTGAAAGAGGAGGCTCTAAAAAATATTACAATTGTTTTCAACCTAGAGAAAGCATTTTTAAAACTTCAGGTCTTATCATTCCAGACTACCCTTTTCTGAGTAATGCACAGGTTAATTTGTTCTTAGAACTCAAGGTTTCATTTTCTTCACATGCAAACATAGTGCAGGGTTGCTCCCTGGGAGTGCGGGTGCAAATGAAAAGACATCTCCTGTGAGCCTCTGTCAGCCAGAAATTATAATAAAATGTCTTGCCTTCAGTTTAGAGCAAAGGTCCATTGTAAGTCTGTAGAGTATCTTCAGGTTGTCACGTACATTCTGATTCTTTAAAAGAGCAAAAGTATTTTTAAAAATCAGATAAACTTGGTGGCAGTACTCATCGTGGTCTGGAACTGACATGACTCGAAAACTGTTTCCTAGTAAAAGCCCATGAAGTTTTCAATGGCAGATGTCATGTATGTGGTAGTATCACCAAATACTTCAACTGGACAAGTTCCTGTCTGTAGAAAGTGCTTCTACTGTGCAAGTGCAAGCTATCCATAGTTGGACACTTCCTCCCAACCTAGGGTATTTCCTTATTTTACAGATTGAGAAACAGAACCACAAAGAAGCCTAATGTCTCAGGTGCAATGATTAAATGGTAGTAGGGAGAGGAGAATGCAGACCTGGCCTCTCTGGAGTCCACAGCTCCATTCTCTCAGCCTTACCACCTTGTACCCGCGCACAGCTGCTGCCATGCTCCTCACTTACCCCTCCATTCTCACCCCAGGAGATGCACACAGAGGCCCTGGGAGATGACAAACAAGGGTCTGTGTTTGGCTGACAAAGGGGTAGATGGGATGAGATACGCCCCTCAATACAGAGTCTAATTATCCTTCCCCTAACATGGAGCGCCAGGACCTCTTCTTCAACACCCCATTCTGTCAAACAAATCCCCCAACTCCAGCCCACTCAGACTCAGTTTTCTGCTAAAGGCCTGAGATTAGAGTGAACATTCCATGGGACAAGTGGCTAGCCGCACACCACCTGGCACTGTTTTCCAGTCATCTCGGTTGTGGCTCTCCTGTGAATGTCGGGAGAACATCCTATGGAAGAGTCCCTCCACGTCAAGTTCTTAACTGCCACTTGGGAGAATCTACCTGGCTGCCTGCAGGAGCCTTCCGCACCCCAAAGCTGACCATGTGATCCCTAGGCTGAATAGCCCCAGGACAGGCCCGGCTCCCTGGTATGGCGCAGCTGCATGAGGAGCCCCTACATTTTCTCTGGCTCCCCACAGCCATGCCTCCTTCTCCCCAGGTCGGCCTTGCTGTCCTCCACAAAGGCACCATGTTCTCTGAGAGTCTTACTATATCCCTGCTGCTCCCTCTACCTGGAAGTCTCTTCCATTTATCTGAACAATTCATGCCACCTCTTTGGAGAGAAGGGTGTAATCTATGATCGTGTAGATTAATGGCTGGACCTCCATCTCCCATCCTCATCCATGCCCCGCATGGCTCAACTACAGACACATATCTGGCTGATGAGACATAAACAGAACTGCATCTGAGGCTGTCTCTTTTCTGCCTGGAGTGTGGATGAGTTGAACCCTGGGCTTCAATTTGACCCTGGGCAAGGTACATGTACGTTAACCTTTCTACACCTCAGTTTTCTCATCTGTAAACTGGGACTGATAATTCTGAGATGGACAACTCCTCTTTCTAATATCTCAGCTTCTGTTTGAGAAGTCTTCCTGCCTGACAGCATGGATTCTGGGTAGGAATACTAATCACGATGCCTGGCCTCCTTGGTGGGGTGTAGACACATGGTACAAGGAGGGAAAGAAAACACTCTCTAAGTGCTGAAACTTTGACTTTTGGACAAGAGAAAAGGTCATGGTTCAGTGCTGCCACCACGTCTACCGGTTCCAGCTCCCTGGGACCCAGGGCCACCTGGCTCCTGTTCTTCCCAAGGCCTGGTACTGCTTTTCCTCTGACTCTGTTGGCTACCCTATATCCTTCTGATAAATCTCTTTTTATATTAAGGGAAAGTGCATTTCTGCAACTTATAACACCAAACCCCTATTGGTACAAATCTTCACATCATAGATGATCTGTGAGGATGAAGTACATGAAGCAAATATCCCCAGCTCAGTGCCCGGTGCCCGGCACGGGCTCATATCACCTCTTACCCCCAGCTACGTGCCCAGTACATGACACGGGCTCACATCACCTCTTACTCCCAGCTTAGTGCCCAGCACATGGCATGAGCTCACATCACCTCTTGCTTTGCTCTGATTGCCTGAGCTAGCTCAGTAGCCTGTGGGTTCTTCTAGCAGTGATTTTACCATGTAACTGTTCACTGACAGCTAACTAGAAAGCCTGAACAGAGTGGCCCCAACTGTGACCACACTGACACCACTAGACACCTCTCCTCTGGGGCCTGCTGAGAAGTCTCTCTCTGGGTTCTAGGCACAGTTCTAGAAGCTGTGAGTGCCTTTGTTTCTCCAAATGGTGCTTCCTGATAACGAGGGGGAATCTCTATCAGGGGAGGGCCTGGAGAGGCCCAAGACAGTTCCTTTTTTTTTTTTTTTTTTTTTGAGACAGAGTCTTACTCTGTCACTCAGGCTGGAGTTCAGGGGCACGATCTCAACTTACTGCAACCTCTGCCTCCCGGATTCAAGTAATTCTCCTGCCTCAGCCTCCCGAGTAGCTGGAACTACAGACACCCACCACCATGCTTGGTTAATTTTTATATTTTCAGTAGAGACAGGGTTTCACCAGGTTAGCTAGGTTGGTCTTGAACTCCTGTGCTCAAGTGATCCACCCACCTCGGCCTCCCAAAGTGCTGTGATTATAGGCATGAGCCGCTGCGCCCAGTCTGAGACCCAGGGCAGTTCTGACCATTCTCTCCACATAGACTGAAGAGTGGCCATCCCAGGACCTCTGGCACTGTGGCCACATCACCAGCACTAAGGATTTATCAATGAGTGGCTTTCTGTTCATGGAGCAGGGGACACTGACACCAGAGAGTCGTCTGGAAGAGTCACACTATGGACAGATTTCCTAGGAACAGGTGCCATGGAAGAACAGCCATCACCCATCCTTATTCAACATTCTCCACCAGAAATGCCAAGGTCAGGACTATTTGTGCTGAATAAGTGAAAATGAATGTTGACAACATTCTTTTTACTATTAGGCTATCAAAAAAATAAAAAAAGCTTCCAGAAAAAAAAAAAAAAAAAAGGATGTATTAAGGTTGATAAAACCTTATCTTAAACAACTCACCACAACATTTCTTGAGGAATTTCCATATGTGCTGTCCACTTTAACCGTAATGGATTTTTCACAGTATTTTTCTACTAAATCTTCAAAAGAGGGTACGGCATCACTAGGATCTATAAGCCATGCAGCAATTCTGGGATCTAACCCTACAAAATCAGCAACTGAAGAGAAAAAGGTCATCAGTCATCCCAAGGAAAACCAATAGTTGTTTTTCCTACTTTGACAAGGTTCTTAAGTTCAAATGAGTAATAGTAGTATTATCATCCTCTCAAATTATAGAGCTAAGGACCAAAGTGACTCTCCATTATTCTCCAGAATTTAGAACCTTTGATAAGGCAGCCTCGATGAACCCAAGTCACACATGGCCCATCTCTGTGGGTGTCACATTAAAGAGGCAGATTTCAAGTAGCCATAAAGGAGGGACTCCAAGTTCACTTGCAATTTGGATCTCTCAAAAACATGTTAAAAGCTGTCGAAGTCAGTGTGGTGGGTCATACTTTCTGCCTCCCCTCTTCCTTGCTCCTCTTTCCCTCAGGCATCCTCTCTGCCAAGTTCTGCCCTCCTCCAGCCTCTCACTGGGCTGTCTTGCACCATGGAGTCTGGAATCCAAGCCTCTTGAGCAAAAGGAAGAAGGGTGGGAGTGCTTGAGCACACATGACACCCTCGTCGCTGAATGTTGAACAGGTAGTGTGTGCAAGGCAAAGACACTTTGGCACTCTCCCTGAAGTGTGGAAAATCCACAAGACAACTAATGTGCAGCGCCTTGGTACTGTGTAAGGAACACCAGGTCTAGATTCTGAATCACCCTCTGAGCCTGGGAGGCCACCTCACCCCTTCAGTGTTAGTTTCTTCATCAAAAAACTGGGGGGAAAGATTACTGTAATTATCTGAGATACACACGAGAAAACGCTTTCTAAAAAGTAAATACGGTATTTGCTAAACGAACAAGTGTTTTATACCAGAACACTTTAGACATGAAGGGGGAGTCATAAAAGGACGGAGGGGGAGTATAAACTAATAGATAAACTAAATCCTAAAGTGAATGCTTTTTAAGTTACTTTAAAATTTTGAATTGTGCCATACAAAAATAAGGAGTTTGCCTTTAAATAAAACTATAGTCTTAGATCATATCACATTAAATATTATATGTTCCAGCATCTTAAATTATACCCGTCTAAGAGATTTATATTTACCAAAGCAGCGAGTATTATGACTTTCTCACTTGATACCTAGGAAGTCTCTTACAGTGGCACATTTAGAGCTCTGGATTAGAGAAGTCAATGGTCCTCTGGCTGCCTGCCACCTCTGTCAGCAGGGCATGATTTTCTTTTTTTTTTTTTTTGAGACAGAGTCTTGCTCTGTCACCCAGGCTGGAGTGCAGTGGCCAGATCTCAGCTCACTGCAAGCTCCGCCTCCCAGGTTTACGCCATTCTCCTGCCTCAGCCTCCAGAGTAGCTGGGACTACAGGCGCCCGCCACCTCGCCCGGCTAGTTTTTTGTATTTTTAGTAGAGATGGGGTTTCACTGTGTTAGCCAGGATGGTCTTGATCTCCTGACCTCGTGATCCGCCCGTCTCGGCCTCCCAAAGTGCTGGGATTACAGGCTTGAGCCACCGCGCCCGGCCCAGGGCATGATTTTCTACAACACTGTCTGGTGACGCGGACTGATCCCATAGGACTGTTTCATTCCACTTCCCTTTTCAATGCTCTAATGTTTCAAAAGTAACGGTTATCAACATATATTTTTTAAAATCCTTGGGGAAGCTCTGACAGTATAAGAATGCTCTGGGAAATGGTCCCTATAATCTCTTGCAACTGACAAACTGAAGCTTGCCAGGACAAATCCCACACTAGGGAGAAAATGCCAGTAGCTGAAAAAGAAATGCTAACAAAATGAGATTTAAAACAAGTTCAGAAAATTAAGAAGGAGTAAAAGTTATGAATAAGTAAATAAATCCGAATTATATACTTAGAAATTAGGTGACTTAGAAAAAGAAAAATTATACAAAAAAATGACAGAATCCAGGAGAGAAAATTTTTTTAAAAAGACAATTCAGAAATAAAAACTAAACTGGCAAGACAAAAATGCAAATAAACATAATAGCTAACTACTTAAAGTAAAAAAGAGATTTAAAAAAGGGAATTTTTTTGTTTGTTTGTTTTGTTTTATTTTTTTGAGATGGAGTCTTGTTCTGTTGCCCAAGCTGGAGAGCAATGGCACAATCTCGGCTCACTGCAACCTCTGCCCCCCAGGTTCAAGTGATTCTCCTGCCTCAGGGCAGTAGCTGGGATTATAGGCCCCCACCACCACGCCCAGCTAATTTTTGTTTTTTTAGTAGAGATGGGGTTTCACCATGCCGACCAGGCTGGTCTTGAACTCCTGACCTCAGTTGATCTGCCCACCTCAGCCTCCCAAAGTGCTTGGATTACAGGCGTAAGACACTGTGCCCAGCCAAAAAAGAGAATTTTTTTTTTAATGAAAAAGAATCAAGTCCAACAGAACTTAAAAATAAAATAAAATTTAAGAAAATCAAAAAGAAATGAAGAGACTGAAAATGGATTCTGGACAAAAAAACGATAAATATGACAAAAAGATAAATATGAAAGACAGATAAAAAGATTCAACATATGAAATAGGAAATCAAAGGGAAAAAAACAAACGAACACAGCACTAAACACTATAATTCAAGATGACTTTAGGCAGGGTGCAGTGGCTCATGCTTGTAATCCCAGCACTTTGCGAGGCCAAGGCGGGTGGATCACGAGATCAGAAGAGGCAGATCACAAGGTCAGGAGATCGAGACCATCCTGGCTAAAATGGTGAAACCCTGTTTCTACTAAAAATACAAAATATTAGCTGGGTGTAGTAGTGGGCACCTGTAGTCCCAGCTACTCAGGAGGCTGAGGCAGGAGAATGGTGTGAACTCGGGAGGCAGAGCTTGCAGTGAGCTGAGATCGCACCACAGCACTCCAGCCTGGGTGACACAGCGAGATTCCGTCTCAAAAAAATAATAATAATAACTTTAAACTACATAAAGACATATACATAATCAATACAGTATAGTATTGACACAGAATAGACCTACAGATCAGTGGAACAGAATTGAGAGTCTAGAAATAAACCCATACATCAGTGGTTGATTGATTTTCAACAAAAGTACTAAGAATGGTGTTAGACACCAACAGTGGGTTGAACTGTGGTCCTCAAAAGATAACTCCACCCAGAATCTCAGAATGAGAACTTATTTGAAATAAGAGCCTTTGCAGATATAATTATGGTAGGAATCTTGAGATGAGATCATCTTAAGTTAGGGTGAGCCCTAAATGCAATGATGGGTGTCCTTATGAGAGACAGAAAAGAAGGTGACATATAGAGACACACAGAGGGAAAAGGCCACATGAGGATGGAAGCAGAGACTGGAGGGATGTATCTACAAGTCAAGGAGTGAAAAGGACTTCCAGCCACCACTAGAAGCTAAGGAAGAGTCACATAATGGATTTTCCCTCAGAGACTCCAGAAGGAACTGTCAACACCTTAATTTGGACTTCCAGCCTCCAGAACTGTAAGAAAATAAATTTGTTGTTTTAAGCACTCAGTTTATGGTAAGTTACAGCAGACCTAGGACACTAATACAGACCCCTACCTCACACCATATGCAAAAATTAACAAATGGATCATAAGCCTAACCTCGGAGAGAAAATGATGAAACTCGTATAATAAAAATATTAGTAAATCTTTCTGACCTTGGATTAAACAATAATTTCTTAGGTTTGACACCAAAAACACAAATGACAAAAGAAAACACAAATAAATCAGATTTCCTTAAAAAAAAAAAAACAGAGTGCTTCAAAGGACATCAAGAAATTAAAAAGACAAGTCACAGATTGGGAGAAAGTATTTGCAAATTTACATCTGACAATAAACTCATATTAGAATATAAAAAGAATTATTTCAAATAAACAATAAAAAGACAACACAATTTTAAAATGGGCAAAATATTTGAACAGACATTTCTCCAAAAAAAGATATGAAAGTGGCCAATAAGCACATGAGAAGATGTCCAATATCATTAGCCATCAGTACAATACAAACCAAAACCACAAGGTGTAACACTTCACATCTACTTGGATGACTAAAATAAAGATAGATAGACAAAAACATGTATTGGGCAAGGATGTGGGGAAATTACAATGCTATATACAGTGCTGGTTAAAATGGTGCAGACCTGTTGGAAACAAGTTTGGCAGTTCCTCAGAATGTTAAATACAGAGTACCACATGACCCAGCAATTCTACTACTTCTAGATATATACTCAAGCAAGTTGAAAATATATCCATGCAAAGACCTGTACACCAAAGTTCATAGAAGCATTAATCATAACAGCCAAAAGTGAAAACAACTCAAATGTCCATCAACTGATGAATGAACAAAATATGAATATTATTCAGCCATAAAAAGGAATAAAGTACTGATATATGCTACAACATGAATGAACCTTTAAAATACTAGGCTAAAAACCAATAACAACAACAAACTACATCAGACTAAATGAAATAGGCCAGTCACAAAAGGCCGCATATTGTATGATTCTATTCATGTTAAATATTCAGAATACACAACTCCAGAAACAAAAATCAGCAGATTAGTGCTTGCCAGAGTCTGAGAAAGGGGAGATGGGGAGTGGCTGCTAAGGAGTACAGGGTTTCTTTCTGGGGTGACAAAAATGTTCTGATATTACGTAGTGGTGATAGATGCACAGTTCTGTGATTACTTTAAAAACCCCTGAATTGTACAGTGGAAGAGTGAATTTTATGGTATGAAATTATATCTTAATAAAACTGCTATTTTTTAAAGCTATACCAAAAAGCTATTTATAACTTTTTTTTTTCTTTTTTTTTGAGACAGAGTCTTGTGAGATCTCTGCTCACTGCAACCTCTGCCTCCCAGGTTCAAGTGATTCTTCTGCCTCAGCCTCCTGAGGAGCTGGAACTACAGGTGCACGCTACCATGCCCGGCTAATTTTCGTATTTTTAGTAGAGATGGGGTTTCACCATGTTGGCCAGGCTGGTCTTGAACTCCTAACCTCAGGTGATCCACCCATCTCGGCCTCCCAAAGTGCTGGGATTACAGATATGAGCCACTGCACCCAGCCAAAGTTTTTT